TCAACGTGTCGACGCTGATAATTTCTTCTAGCAAGTCTATGCAGTTCTTCCACCATCGCTAACTTTTTTCCATCCATTCTCCAGTGCATTCAGTCTGGCGTCTAGCTGAGAAATGATCTCAGAGTTGCGAATTGTCAAGTCTTGCGCTGTCTTTATATCTGCTTCTAGACGATTCAAGGCATCCTTCACGGTAGAATCGAGAGCGCGAATCATTAGGTTGTTGTTATCGATTTCATTGCGCATTTCAGCAGTCTTACGAAGTACGGTATCAATTTCCTGCTTTAGCACAGTTTTCATGAGATTCAAAGTAACAGCATCGTTTAGCTCCTCGGGATTGGCAACGTTGCACAGCCTCTTGTTATCTATGTCGTAGTGTCCAGCAGCAGTGAATTTGAATCCAACACCAGGAAGACCACGGCTACTCGTGACCGCGGCCTTGCTACTCAGCTGACGTCCAAACACGTCAACGCTCGTGTCTAAAGTGACGATCATGACCATTTTATCAAATTAATAAATAATACCAGCCTCACGCAACTCTTCGATAATCGATACGATTTCGTTGGAGTGACTGGGATTACCTGCTTCCTGAGACGCAAGGAGCAAACGAAGACGGTCTACTAATTCATTGGGATCGTCCCAGTACACGTAATCCGTTAGTCTGTCCTTAGCAGCGATCATGTACCGTGGTATGATACCTTTGCCCGTTACAAACGACAGTTCAATTAGTTTTGCAATAACATTTTTAAATTTGAAACTCTTGCTCCTACGAATATCACCATCAGGTTTATAGTACTTTTTAGATCATGTACCGTGGTATGATACCTATGCCCGTTACAGAGGACTGTTCAATTAGTTTTGCAATAACATTTTTAAATTTGAAACTCTTGCTCCTACGAATATCACCATCAGGTTTATAGTACTTTTTATATGCATTCGTTGTTATAATAATGTTTTTGTAATTGTTCAAGTCATCTTGGGTTACATGAGTCTCGTTAGGTATCTTCCTGAACAATAGTTCGATCAAACCGTTAGTTTTTGGATAACTGGTATCGCCTATATGGACTTGATCACCCTCAAAACTTATAGGTGAATCTCCAACCATCAACTTCTTCTTGGAAAGTTTACGCACACCATAGGTAGTATCCAATTGTTTATTCTGCCTCGATAGCAGCATATTAAGATACCGTTGCATCGAATCGTTTGGATTAACGGATAAATCCATATCATTCTTGTATCCATCATCGCCATCACCATCATCATCATCATTATCATTATCATCATCTTGAATATCACTGATTTCCCCGATAGTGGAATCATTTTTGAGCGTATTAAAGGATTCATTCGTTGTTTCAAACGTATCATTAATTCCTACATTATGTTTTATTTCATCTTTGATTTCATCTTTAATCTTATCTTTTATAGTATTATGCTCTGTTTGAGATACGTTCACTAGTTTCTGCAGTGGAGTCACTACCGGTTTGAACACCTCACTCATCGCATGCTCGACATTCTCTTTACCCAATTTTATCATTCGATGCTTTCTGCGGATCGAATCGCTAGCTTTAGCGATTTGACGCAAGATGTTTTTCTGCTCTTCAAGTTTTTCACGCTGCATGTTGCGCGATTCTTCGGAAATCCTCGGACCCGGGGCCAAAAGAGGGCCACTTGGTTGTGAACCGTGGAACGGGAATACCGAAAATCGGCGGATAAGGTATCGCGATATTTCTGGGTTGAGTGTGGTGAGAGTGTGTGAGATTTGCAGGACCTGTTGGGCAACATGGCTTTTTCCCGGACGTGATATGGAGAATTGGATCTATCGACGACGTCGGCGCTCCTACGGAAGTCAGAAGATAAAGGAAGGAGACGGCCGACGAGGAGGAAAATTGCCAACCACCACCACCCGAGCGACGAGGAAGAAAGGTACGGTTCACCGGAAGATTCGGTAAGTGCAGTTTAGGCGACCGCCCCGAAGCCATGCAGCTGGGGAGGAAGCGCATCCGCTGGTTCATCTTGGCACGAGGAGTGGGGGGCCGCGGGCCTCGCCACGGTTCCTGGCGGTTGTAGATTCGAACCGACCACCATCAACAGGGATGACCTCGGCGACCGCGTGGTGTATTAGAATTGTATAGAGCCGCGCTCGTATACATCACCCGACTGTACTCGTTTACCTAGGCAAAATAAAGGGCCATGGTTGGAATTAAATCCCACTGCGTTAGTCATTACCAAAGAAGCCGGCTGATTCCTGTAGATACTCGCCGCCCTCACGTTCCCCTCTACCAGGTCGGATTAGGAGCTAGCGGGAAGATCCGGTCGAGAAGACTCCCGGAATTGACATGCCGCGGATTAGAAATTAAAGGCCCGACGAGTCGGGCTGGTGCAAGGATGCACCTGGCGCCCAAGGGATCCACGGAATGCCACGTTGGGGTCGCGGATAGAACGTAGTTCAGGAAATGCGTTACACTACATTATGTTTTATTTCATCTTTGATTTCGTCTTTAATCTTATCTTTTATAGTATTATGCTCTGTTTGAAATACGTTCACTAGTTTCTGCAGTGAAGTCACTCCGGTTTGAACACCTCACTCATCGCATGCTCGACATTCTCTTTACCCAATTTTATCATTCGATGCTTTCTGCGAATCGAATCGCTAGCTTTAGCGATTTGACGCAAGATGTCTTTCTGCTCTTCAAGTTTTTCACGCTGCATGTTGCAATCACTGAATCCAAAATGCTACTGTATCCATTTTTTCGATAATCACTCTTTTATGCTCACGAAGCAATCGAATCCTTTTCTATATCGACCCTCGTTGAGTTCGCTATCCTTGTCTATTACGAGAAACCCACATTTACTCTCGTTCCAGCATGCCGAACATATGTCTCTGAACTGCACGTACGTCATATCAGTGTTTACATGATCATCGTAAACGTGCTTGAGATTCATTTCATCCTGCTTAAAGAGCACAAGCAAATTAGCATTGTTGCGTACGAGATGTTTTGGAATGTGA